TGACTTTATGCCTTTATAACAACGTACATAGCAGCTTCTAAGCAAATAAAAGCAGCTTCGTTAATTCATTTTCACACAATCAAAGGTCTGTCTAGGGAATTCAAATCTTGTTATGCTTGGAAATTGCATCATCTAAGAAAAGCTGTAAAAAAAGTTGAGCAGTTGAGCGAAAAGCAGACTTGCATTTAGTATACACCACCTGTTATTACGGGATTCAGATAGGTATGACTGAAATTCTGATCCCTTCGTGGTCAAGCATCAGCCGGCGCTCTTGTTAAAGAAATTGCTGAAGACCTTAACGTCGCTAGCAGAAGGAAACTGTGCATCTTTATGAATTATGAAGATACAATAAGGAATACCCATAATGAGAAACCTTACCAGCAAAATGCTCATCCGAATTTTTTCCCTCAACCTAAAAAAAATGTGGTACGATCATGGCTAATAACCTACCGCAAAATACGGTTGTGTAGCCGTAAATAGAGAAGTAGAATGCAAAGCAAAGACGAGCAACGACAAGAAAGCCGAGAAAAGAATATCATGCCTGGCACGTAAAACTACAGCACCCTTTAGACGCCCTGGCAGCGGATCGGACACGTCTAATTCATCTGAAACAGAAGAAAGGAAGTCTCGAAAACATAAGGATGAATCTTACCTGAATCTTTCACTCTTTCATCTTCTTCTTGTTCCGTTGCAGCAGCGCAACACAAACGACTAGTACTGTCTGAGTTACTTGGGGTTCCTACCGAAGGACATATTGCTCGAAGCAAGATCACAAACAGTTGAGGATTTGATGAAAACCTATAAGAAAACATCGATAAACCATTAAGCCAGTAGATTAGTACTGAGTTTACCTGCTCAACAGATACGATATCGCCACAGCAATAGACAGAAAAGCAGAGAATGCTGGTGTTTGTGTAGTGGTAGAATCTACTGTATAGGCCAAATGGCATCTGACAGAAGAGAAACTTTTCTAGCGTAAAGCTTACAATAAAAAAAATCTGCAAAACTCACAAACCACCCAGGATGGCCCAAGCAGCAAGGCTTTTTACAATCTGTATGGAAGCACTTACGACACCCAGCGACGCTGTTCCGCCAAAAATGTGCATTTCGAACTGCTCAAGCACATGATGCATTAAAGTATTGACCTTAATAGAGTAGTGTCAAAGTTTGACAGAAAAAGTAACTACGGCTATAATCAACGCAAAATGTCAAGCCTAACCTGTGGAAGCCACCCCATTGTGAACGCAAACGGTAACATTACCAAGAAGGTAGCGAATAGATCCCGAACTGCCAGAAGTACCATTTCTCCAGAAGTTTCGTATAGCCTAGAACTTTCTCTCAAGCAAATTATTTGCGAATTGAACCGTAGACTCACTAACCGGTACGGGTTCCAATTCCAAGGTATTTTGTCATAATTTGGATCATCACAAAAATGATGCAGTACCAAAACTATGACCGCCAGAATACAGAAATACACTGGACGACTATAGGCAACGAGCCAGTTGAAACCGTGAATGGGTGACGATGCATCCGGCTGCACGCTTTTGAGAAGGGAGAACTGAATTGGAGTATTTTATCTTTTTTT